CCCAGCTCCCAGCGCACCGTGAGTCTCCCCAACCCACTGCAGACTCCAAATCATCTCGGTGGGGGGGCAACAGCAGCTCCCCACAGCAGTTAACTCATTTCAGTGGGGCAAGGGAGGCCCCCCCGCGGGCATGCAGGAGTTGGGGGTCAAGGCTCACCCCGGGTAAAGGGACCCAAGGTGCGAGCTCTGATGCCCCAAGAACTCTCATCCTCCCACCCAGCACCAGCTGGAGCTGGCTCCAGCACAAGCAGCAGCAATCACACCTCCCAAACCCCAGTGCTGTTGTTCATCAATCACTCCTCTCAAATACAAATAGGAGGAGCCTTCTTCAGGGAGTTTTACCAGACAGCAAACACACAAACAATGGTTGGGAGTAAAAAAATATGTTTTTTCCTTTTAATTACATCAGTTATCAAAGAAAAAAAAAGCAGTCGTAACAAAAATACAAAGCTCTGAGGGTCTCTTGTTTTGTTTTGTCATCAGCTGAGCATCAGTGCAATTGGTTTAATTTAACTTCTGCTCTGAGTCTCTGCTGGCAGAGTAGGAGTAGGCTTTGCCCAGCACCAGACGGTCACGCAGCAGCTTGAAGAAGGCGTAGTAATTGCTGAAGAGGATCAGAGCCAGCGAGATGGTCTGGTGCCACTTCTCTGAAGAAATCAGGGAGTAAAGCTGGTAGAAGATGACGGCTCCTTCCAGCAGGATCAGGATGTTGAGTATTCTCAGCGGTTTGCTGAAAAAGAACTGTAGGAGAGACCACAATGAGACCCTTTGGGGTGTGTTTTCCACAGGATGCACGTAGCAGAGGCCTGTGGGGATTCCCCTGGGATTTCCTTCAACATTCACCACTAAATGGCTCGGGACAGAGCCCTGGGCTGCAGGGACCAGTCACCCTCTGGCAGTGCCAATGGGAGAGTAATGTGTGCTGAACTCCGCCTGTTCCACCACCCCGGCACACCATCAGCAGCTCTCCTGTCAGAGCCAGCTCAAGCAGTGCAAGGTGTTCAGGAGAACAGGACCAGGAGGGTGCCCAGAGAAGCTGTGGCTGCCCCATCCCTGGCAGTGTTCAAGGCCAGGTTGGACACAGGGGCTTGGAGCAACCTGCTCTAGTGGAAGGTGTCCCTGCCTGTGGCAGGGGTTGGAGCTGGATGAGCTTTGAGGTCCCTTCCAACACAAACCAGTCTGGGATTCTGGACTGTAGGAAATGTGATCTTACGTGAAAGCGGAAGTGTGAGACGTCCGAGGGTACCGCCACATTGTAATGACCCACAGCTTTGTACACGTTCTTGCTGTGTTTCACCAACACTCCCTGTGGCCACATGCACTCCTCTGTCCACCTGCAGAGAGCAAGCAGAGTGCTCTGATTTCTACCTCCATGGCTGAAGGGGGGTCTGCTGTTGTCCCACCATCAGCTAGGAGAACGTATGAGCTGCTTCCACAGCTGCGAGAGCAGAGTTTGGCCACCGAGGCTCAGAACTGTAGCAGTGACAAGCAGCAGTTACCTGTGGCAACAAGCAGGCGGCCTATCTCCAAACATGAGATCTGCTTGCTGCACTTGGAAGTGGACAGCACAGTGTCTGCACACTGTTGGATGTGTCAGCCAACAACTTTCTTGTAAGCAACAAGAGGAGAGGTGGCTGGAAAGCTGAGCTCCCCATCCCATCCCCGTTCATGTCAACAGGCCTGCCAGCTAAGAGAAATGCCAGCCCCAGTCCCAGGAGTCAGCTTCCTTACTGATGCTGCAGCACATTGGAGCAGAGCGCTGGATCGACCTTCTGCCAGCAGCCCAAGTGCGCCGCGGCTTTATGGAGCAGGTCGCAGTAGCGCGCGGGTAGGAGGTACTGCATCAGGATTACTGATGTGCTGATGGACACCAGGAGGAAGAGCTCACACGACCAGCGTTTGTCATAGTACTGAGTATTCTGTGGGGGGACAAGAAGAATGTGTGACACGAAGTGCTCAGGTAGGTAAAATGAGAGCTTTGCACAGAGCTACTGATCCTACTTCAGAAAGAAGCACCCACATAGGATGGCTGTTGTAAAAGTCCTGAACACACCACAGTGAAAATATGCTATCATCTCCCATCACAAAACCAGGGAGACAGTTCCTGATGTGATCCTAGCTCAGCCGCTGATGGGTGGGAGCACCGGACCCGCAGAGGAAGGGACTTGGACTCATCCCTGAAGTCTGACATATTTACTGCAAGACATTTATCTCACTGTACAACTTATCAGGAACTTAAATAAAACAGCTAATAATCCTGATAAGGTCCAGCCTCCTTTGTACTGCCTCCCTTACTAAAGTCAATCCCCTTGTCCCAGGGCTCTGTCCTCACAGAAAGTCAGTGTGTGGAGGACTGGTGGCCTTCACAGGGAAGCAGGAAGAGGCAGTGCTCCCTCGTAGAGGGATGCACACGCTCCTGACAGTCAGAATATACTTTATCAGGGTAATATTGTCCTCTGTCACCTGGGGCTGAAGCAAAGCTAAACCAAGATGGCTTTGCTTCTTGCTTTTCACAAGGTCTCTGTAAAAGGGTTTGATACGGCTGGCTGTGCATGCAGACCAGCCCCCTGACTGACTTCTCCCAGGTTCCAGCTAAGTGAGAAGCAAGAATCAGACCTCATCTCTGTGTCTACCTCCCCACAACCCTCCCCAGCCAGACCTGGAGGGGCAGCATCCACAAGAGCAGTGCTGGCCCTTGCTCACCTTCACAAACCAGACCGGCACAAAGGCCACATAGTAGGCACTGAGCATGGAGCTCACCAGCACCTCCTTCATCCGCCAGTTGAAGTCCATTTTCAGGTATTCCACCTCGTTGCGGATGAGGTCTGGGGAGAGGCAGCAGGCATGCGTGGGCATGGCCTCCATGCCGTACATCTGCCGAGTGTGCTGCTTCCATGTTTCCTTCAGGACACTCAAGTAGTCTCGGCTCCTGGAGGTCACCTCACTGCTCTCCCTGGGACTGACGCTGGCCACGTGGGAGAAGAGCCCCGTCTTTCGAAAGTCACAGTTGAGCTGAAGGAAGGGAATGTACATGCCAAACCTGGGGCAGCAAAGTGCAGAAAGGCCGTTACTTCCTTACAAGCTCCCCATGTGATGGCAGATTGTGCTGGTGGTAGATCAGCATCATGATCACATCCCCCTCCTAAGTGGCAGCTGGTACCTATATAAATTCCAGGAAAGAGCTTCACCAATCTCATCTCAAACACAAGCAGAATCTCAGATTTTTGAGATGCTTCCTCCTGAATCTTCTAGAGAGAAGGGTGCTACTGGAAATAGAACAGGCTTCCTTTTGTTAGTTAACATGAAGCAGGGAAGCTGTTTGATTCACTCCACCCAGCAGAGGCACCCAAGGACTAAAGTAAACCAAAGACACAGGTTCTTCGACTACCATGAGAAAAGCAGACAATCCTTTCCAGAGGACAATCCAGAGCAATCTAGTAATCAATGCTTACATTAAAGCTGAAATATATGTTAAAGATATGCCCTACCACCAAGAAGAATGTGACACAGCAGGAGGGAAAATGGTAGTTTAAGTTCTGTTAACAGGCAATCAAATGCTTATTTACTCTCAGGATTCATTTCAACTGAGCAACACCCACTGCACTGAAGCAACATTAGAAATCACACCCAAGTGACAGAAGAGATACTTACGGGTAACACAGGAACAGGAGATTAAGGAAAGAGTAGGTTCTAAAAAGGTGAATTATCGATCGACACAAACTCCAGCCTGTGCCAGTGAGAACAGCAAATCGAGTGACCACCAGGAAAACAGAGCGTGGAAGGGAGACCTTGCCACTCTGTGAGGCCTGCGGGGAGAGAAGAGGGAGCTGGGCAGAGGGAGACTCCTCCACTCTTCCTACAGGAAGCAAACAGTAAATGAGCAGCACTCAATCTGTAAAATCAACTTCGTATGTGTGAAGGAAGAGCTAGTGAAAGGCTCTGTTTCACTAGGAAGGTGAGGCTTTCTAGAGGCTGGAATTTGGACTCTCCAAAACCCAGGGCCTCATTCCTTAAGCTGGGATGAGGAGAGCTCTCAGAGTTTCTTGTTAAGGTGTGGTAGTTATCGGTGTGACCAGCCCACTCTCCTGGACCTGCTCACCACAGACAGCTTCCACAGTCAGCAGAAAACAACCTACACCGGTTCTTCCTTGCAGAGAGCTCCAATAATTAAGAGAACAGGAAAAGAGCCAAAGACTCTTCTTCACAAGGAAGAAAGCAGAATTACTACAGTCTAGTTGAGACAGTAATTCAGAAGCAGTCACAGAAGGACAGAGAGAGTCACGAGCAATGGTTTGGGGTGCTCATTTCTGTTCATTTGTCCTTCCCATGCCTTGGTTTCTGACTTGGACACAGCACAAAGTTCTTTAGAAAAGGACAAAAGAGTTTGGAACTGCAACAGCTTTACATTTCACCCGAGAGGAAAGAGGTCTGAGATCTGCCGGGGGACTTTACCTCCTTCACAATAGCACTGATCAGCCGGCGTGCCAGAACAATTGTTGTCACTGTCAGCACGTTGAAGTCAATAAGATGAAAGTTCTGTGGTGAAAAAAACAAAGCGATTCCACTTTCCATCAGGCATCAGAAACCCACACTCAACAGAGAAGCTCCCAATTATTCTCTTCTCCTCAGACTCCCTCTTCCAGGATCAGAATCACAGAATCAACAAGGTTGGAAAAGATCTTTAAGATCGTAAGTCCAATTGTTACCCCAGGACTACCAAGGCCACCGTTAAAATGCCAAGCAGACAGCCACTGCCCAAAATTCGCCAAATAAGAGTCACTTGAGCAACCCACCAGGGCTGTAGTATCACATGTAGTGTGCATCAAACATACCTAGAAAACTCAATGTCTAAGGACCAAGGAGACAGCCCATAAGTGTCCCCACCAGCAGCTGCCCGTCGGTACTTACCAGTGACGTGTGTGAAGGAGGATGGGAGGGTGGGTACCACCACACTGTTTTGTAGATGTTGATGTAGTGGACAAACAGAGCAATGAGATGACAGAAGAAGAGTTGAAGCTCAAACAACACACTCCTCTCCACAGGCAGCTCTGGGATCTTACAGTGCCGGAGGGGGACGACTGTCTGAGTTGCCAAGGTTGGCCTGGAAAGCCCGGTGCCTGACCCGCTCCTGCCAAGGTAAAGCGAAAGGCAGCAGTCACTCCTCCGAGATCAGCACGGTGCTGCCCTCCAGCACATGTGCTCACACTGTACGAACAGTGCTCTAATATTGACTGAGAAACCTAAGCTAACTCTCATGGTCAATGGCTGCCACAAACCAGAGGCATCAGCACCCCAAAGACATCTCAGATGGTTGTTACAGGCAGATGTGAGCAGGGATTTACCCTGTGAAAGCAGTATTTGGAACCAGCCCAACCTACACCACCAGGTCATTTGACATTATACCCCTTGCATTGAACCAGGTTCAAAAGCCATGGCTGTGTTTTGCTGTTCAAGAGGCAACCAGTGGCCCTCTTAATTAATTGGAAGCTTTTAGGCCTCAAGTTGCTACTTCCATTTCTAAGAGTGCTTGAACATGAAATCCAGAGCAATTAAACACAAGTGTTTTCCCATTCTTCAACTTCATTCAACTACGGAGGAAAAACAAGTTTAGTCAGAGGTGCGTATTCCTGTGCGAGCATGCACACAATCCCAGACAGCAACCATTTTAATCAAAGGGAAGGGAATTAATATACACTAGATGTATGTCTCCTGATATGCAATCTCTAAACAACAACAGTCAAAGGAATCTGGGTGTGGGTTTCAAAGGAACTACAGAGCACAAACTCCTATTGAAAATCCCAAAATGAAACCACAAGAGTCTTGGAGTGTGACTGCAGACAGACTTTGAGCCCTGTCTACAGGGGCTCAAAGGGGTGGGCAAGGTCTATCAGTCCTGACAGCCTAAAATAAGGCTGTGCATGAGGGGAAAACTCTAGGAACCTGAGCTGCCTCTCTGAAATCCCCCCACTCTCAAGCTGACAGGACTGGTTCAGCTCCTCAGGGTTGATAAATCCAACAATAAACTCTGTTCCTGTACACAGAACATGAATTCCCATTCTCTAGAAAAGGGCTTTAAATATAAACACAAAGCCTTTTCTGCTTGGAACAGACACACAAGACAAAAGGGTGCTCTTGCAAGAGCAGCAACAAGGGTCTCATACACACATAGAGCACTTTGGGACTCTTCAGCCTGCACTGTCACGTAGGTGATGGGTATCAGAGGGTACAGCTACAGAGGTGAATCCTTGGAAGTAAGCTGGGGCATGGATTTGTACCGTATTACCTGTGTGTGACAAGGACCTCTGTGTGTGCTCTCACAGCAAAGTAGGTATAAGGTGGATTGCTCCACCTTCCGTGGTCTTGCAATGAGTTTTTTGAGTAACTGTATCCCTATAAATTTCTTGGCCTAGGGCTGTAAGCAGGGAGCATGCTAAGACAGATCTCACACGTTCTTCAGAGAGTTCATAAAAAGGCACCTGCTGCTTATGCACTGCTGTTGGTGCTCTGCTTCTCCTTCCTCCTCTCTACCTCAGTTGCAGAAATGCAACCTACCCGCTAGGTTATAACCTGACAAAAGCCCCAAACACAGCCTACACATCACCTGACCTGGCTAAATTCTACCCCAGACTGATGTTAACTTCAGGGCTCAAGAGATGCAACAGCTTGAACTCCAGAGTCAGGCTTTGGATATCGGAAAGCCACTCCTGGAAGCCTGTCACGCTCTGACAGAGCACTCAGGGAAACCAGAGCTCACCTTATCCCAATTACAACATGTAGCAGGGACACTGCCACCAGAGAGCGAGCAGGCCAGGGAGCAGCGGGGAGGTACCAGCCCGCTGAGCCCCAGGAGCAGCAGCAGTGACAGGGCCAC